TTGCAAAGGATCTTTTCCACGCTTAGGTTTTGCACTACAGTTTTAAACAAACTGTTGCATATTGACATTCTGAACGCTTTACAGTGTGGTGAAGGTGTTTAAACTGTCCTTTTCTGTAATTAGCTTCAGTGGGAAATAGGTGTTTGACAACATGTATCAATCCTCTTTGATATAATGGTTTGGATGTGCGTTACATTATCACAACCGCAGAAAACAGCTGAATAAATTGTATTTTCAGAAGCGTAGGTTTGCAAACACCAATAGTAAATTGGAGACCACAGTCACTCTCGGTAAGGAATGTTTCTGTATTTCGACAACGTATTCTAATTCGACTGGAGCTGCAAAACGAAAGGAAATGATTTAAGCTCCTATTGCTATATCTATGGATTCATTACTGAAAACAATTTCTATCGCACTGAACCCGCAAGGCCATGTATTTGAGTTCCATTCAGATAAACTGAAGTCTTAACGGAATCAGTGACCATGGTGGGCAGTCAGTGCTCAAATCTACATACAAAATCTATTTTTTTATAGATCTACATCTGCATTGTTTGTGCTCTGCCTGTTTGTAAACATCTTACTGTTGTTTAAACATACAGTATGACCACTTTAAATACATTTTAAGTTTTTTATTATAACTAGACAGAATGTTCCGTAAGATTTCATTTTAAGAGTTTCCCTTTTACCTGTAAAAGATCTTGAAGCCAGATGTCAGAGTTCAGTGTTAAATGGCAAAAGTAAGCAGATCCAAGTAAAACCATATTTTGATTCTGCAGAAATGTGTGTTTGTAGAATCTGGTTCTTTGATGCAGACAGATTTGCTCTTGCCTGAAGTAATAACACTGGTTTAAGAGCTTCAATGATCATACTGCACTTTGCACCTAAGTTGACTTACATTAAAAAGTAAGTAAAAAGTAAAATCTGAAGAGTCTAATTATGCTCAGCTGGAGCTCGGTGGTGACAGAATCAGCTGAAAGATATTCCAAGGAAAGTGTGTTTGACTAAGATCACTGAAAACAGTGTTTCATTGGCCATTATCACACCCCAGCTAGAGGAACAGTAGTTATCTGTAGTTTGAGATCTCTAGTAGTAGATCTCTAGTTTGATACTTGGATTAACACATGATGAGGTTCTCATTGATACATTGTTTGTAGCCGTGGGTTTTTTAAAGAAAATGCACCGCAGAGTGGTCATAACATAATCAATCCAAGCATTAAAAATACTTGGATTTAGTTTATTTAGTTTATTTAATCTTTATTGAGGTTTTGGTTTTCATTTTATTCTGCCGTCTCAAAAATTCAGAAGGTATAAAGAACAAATCTAGCTCTGTGGAACCCTTTCAGATTGTCAGATTTACCCCCGTCATGTGACAGTGATTTATAGGGCCCGGCTGCTGGTCCTTATTCACTGAAAGGACCTCATACAATTATATTGTTTCTTGCTGAATATGTTTAGCTGATAACTGGCTCTTAGTAATAAATATTCCCCGTGCCACCCACTGATGTTTGAATTCAAGAGGAAATATGTTAAATAATAATTGCCTTTGCATTTATGACACTTATTATGAAGTGTTATCCAGAAGGTTAATTATCATATTAGAAGAATACAGGCTGTGCATTATCAGGCTTCTCTTTTTTTATCAGTGCACTGTAATTCACAGTAAAGACAGGCTGCACACTGGTGCTAGAGTGTGTGTGTGTGACTTGGAGTCTGAATGCGTGCCTGTCTGTATGTGACGTCTGTGCCAACCCCAGGAGTAGGAGTACAGAGTCCTAGCATGCAGAGACATCTCTTTGAGCAGATACAGGCTGACTGCTGGGATTAGACGGCCTTGAATGTCACGTTTTCCCTGGCATGACCAGCTGGAGCTTCAAAGGAAAGCCAATACTGCAAGCTGTGGATTCCGCATTACAGATACATTTTAAAAAATTAATAGGAGACCGAAACTAAACAGTCGAGTCAGCCATATTTCCGGGCGGCTCCTTGTTCTGTCCCCTACACCCTGACACTTCACCTTGTCCTCGTCGGCTTCCAGCTTTCGTCCTCACGTGTTTGACTCGCTTTCCCACATGAGCCACTTATTCTTAGTGCAAACCCAGCTGCCCGTCCTCGTTCACAGGAGCCGCAAATGACCGAAAGTGCTGTTGAGCGCTGCCCTCTCTTGTGTGGTTTCCAGGAAACCTTACAGGTTGCAGTGATCCTGTTAATGCCTCATATTACATCCATTGCATCCAAAATGTTCTTTTCAATAAAGCGCTGTAGAATTTTATTTGTTTTGTTTTTCATCTGCGTTCTGTAGATGAACTGACCCCCACATGCCACCATTTCTGCACCATTTGGTCAGCCATTTCGTTAAAACTGATACACAGCTCTTGAACTTTCTTGATTGGGGAACTGTTAAAAATGATACTAAAGACAAACCCTTTCCTCTCTTGAATTATTCCATAGACTGTGTTTTGGGGTTTCTGAGTCATTCTCATTTACTTTATAGTCCGAGTAGTAGACAGTAATGCACAAAAGAGGAAGAAGCCGAGATGATTTTCTCAGTGACAATTAGTCATTGTGACACAGGTGTTAGTCATCATGTGCTCCAGGTTTTTCTTTTTATTCTTCACTGGCATACTGGTCTGGGGCAGTTGAGACTCTGCAAAATTAGAGCAGAGGTTTTCCAAAGTGTTCCCACTAGCAAAATGGCTGGCTGTTGGCAGTCTTATCACTGATCTCCATGTCCATCATTGTTGGTAGGATTTGTATGCTAATTCTAAGAGATTAACAGTTAATTTTGCGCTTTTGTTCCAGTTTCTTATGTAACAAAAAGTCAGTCTGAAACTTTGTGTACCATCTATTCTTCCAGAAAAATACCGATTTTTTTTTCTCGTAATGGCACAACCTAGTTATCGCTGGCAATTCCTGTACCGTTTGAAAGATTATTTTTTTAATTTTGAAGGGATAGTCCAGTGTGATCAAATTGGAGATATCAGGAACTGAAAATACTCATAACAATGGTCAATATTTTTCTTTCTCTGGGTGAGGTCTCTTTTCATGGGAAAATTATTATTTGATCGCAGTGTAGGAAATATATTGATTCATTCTCATGATACCTAATAATCAGAGAACCAGCTAAAATGTCTAAACAATTTACTTTCAAGCACTTTCAAGGAGTGAAATCTGTTCTCTTGGCATTAGTTGGCTGCATTAAACAGTTGTCCAGTGGCGTAATTATTTTACAGTCAGATCCCAGATATTCTCACTGGGAAAAAAGTGTTTCTACTTGAAGTCAAATCAAAACGATCGTTTCTCTCAACGTTCTTTTTTGCCATTTGCCCCTTCCGGGATTCCGGCTGGGATTATGGTGGGAATTCTGGTCACTCAGGGGCTCAGAGTGCTCCTCAGACGGCGCCAATCTCCCCTGAGCTGCGAGCCCAGGCCTCCTGCTGCAGCATGATCCTCCACTGTCCAGCTTTCAAGGAGTTCGCATTTCCACTGAGGGCCCCTGAGCTCTTCTGCACCGAGAACAATTTGGTTTCGTAGCAACCCCTTTCTGCTTCCAGGGTTCTGCTTCCTCTGAGTTTTATAGCTCCCTGTCAGAGGTGAAAAGTGCCCATCGAAGTCTGAAAACTATGACGTCCAGCAGCAGTCACATCACCAGTCTTCACCATATTCCAAAGCAGTGCCGGTACACAACAAGGAGCCACACTTCTTCTTAATGCAGTAGGTCACAATTCACCTCAAGCGCACTGGACTCAATTTTGCCTAATACATTAACAGAGCTGATTAATTGCTTCACAATGACTTCTTCACGATGCGCTACAATATATAGGGGTTGAATAATTAATACCATAGATTTTCAGTCTGCCTGTCGCATTCAACACACTTCTGAGCTTCATCTACCAAAGGGGTTAATTAACGATTTCATGACTATACATGTATTCATCTTCAGACTTGAGGGGCTGTGTTTGTAGAGCGTTGCAGTTCATATTCAAGTGTCTTAAACCTGCCCTTTCATCTTGGATAGTTGTGTGATTCAGTATCACGTAGGCTTAACCTTGGTTTCCAGTTAAAACATGTTGTACCACTGGCTCTGTTCTTATTTGTGGCTCGTACAGTATGGATAACAAGAGCAGTGAAGGGCCGTAGACATCGCCCAGGTCGCTGCAAGGCTGAAACACAAGAATAGCAGGAGACGTTCTGTGCTGAGGTGAAAGAACAAGGCCCGAGCATGTAGATGGCATATGTGGTTTTTGTGGGAAGACGGTAACGTGCGTCGGACACGTCAAGTTTTTCTTATTTTCTGAATAGGCCTTGGTTTATTTTTGGGAGCGAGCTGCAACCTCCTAATTTCATTGTAAGGGACAAGTCGCAAGACGTGTAGCAGAAGAAAAGTGAATCAATTTGGTTTAAAAGTTTCACATTTTGAAACCAGGGTCGGGCTTTAGTGCACGTCTTTACATTTAAAGCACTGGCATAGAGGATATAAGGTGTAGGTCCAGCACACATGATCACTTTTCTGTTATTCATTTACAAGTAGTTAAGTATAAGCTAAAGTGCTGCTTGAAAATGAAAGCTTAGAAGCCTTTCCAAAACCCCTTAAAGAAACCATTCAGGCTACTGTCATGTGGGTTAATGCGCTGTCGAATTGTTTCTAAAGCATTAAGGGCAAACCATGTGTCAAAAAGCAGTCTTCAAAGAAAAATGTTTGCTGCTGTTGTACAAATGAGAGAAACACAAGTCCTGAGGTTCACAAACTTCGTGTTTGAAGCAGTGCTACTTGCCATTGCAGATCCCTGTCTGTTTCTTCCCTGTCCATAACACTTTACCCAATACTGGAGCAGGAGAGCCGGAGCCTATCCCAGCAAGCAGCGAGCACATAGCGGGACACACCCTGGATGGGATGCCAGGCGATTGCAGCTGTGTGCTCTCGTAAAGATAAAAATAACGTAGCTGAACAGCAGGATTTTTGTGCTTGTTAGCTGATGATGCCTTGTCTCCTTTTTCTGCAGGTGACGTTTACAAAAAGAAAGTTTGGGTTAATGAAGAAGGCCTACGAGCTGAGTGTTCTGTGCGACTGTGAGATCGCTCTCATCATCTTCAACAGCACTAACAAACTGTTCCAGTACGCCAGCACAGACATGGACAAGGTGCTGCTGAAATACACAGAGTATAATGAGCCACATGAGAGCCGGACAAACTCAGATATTGTTGAGGTAAGGGCACTATCTCCCTTAGGCCTTTCATAGCAAAATGATATCAGCTTTGTACTTTCAGACTGATAAGAGCTTCTGCCTCAAATAGCTGGCTGCTTCTTATCCAAAGACACAGTTTTTTCATTTTCCTGTTAATAAGTAGCATTTTAAAAAATCATTGCTTTACAGTTCGTGCTACTTAGAAATGTATAAAGCGTGTAAGCTTATTGTATTTCTCTAAAGATAGGAAACATGTTGACCCATCAGCAGAGTGAACATCTTTGACAGCCCGTGACAAGCAGAGGTAGCTGTGGCTTAAGTTGCAAGCTGGAGTGACGAAGGATGTTGAGTTGCAAAGTCAGTTTAAGGATGAAAAGAATATCCTCAAGGATTCCTAAGTCCAGAGTGACCTTGTTATGCAACAGGCTTACAGACGGCCGAGTACGCTCTAAAGGTGGTCTGCCGTGCGCTGAGCTTCCTGATGCCTGCTTCATCTCCGCTTATACAGGAGGAGAGATTTACAGAAACATGTGCCATTTCAAAGGTCAAGAGGCAGGTGCAGGTAGCGTGTACAGACCATGGGGAGGGAGTTTCCGATGTTTGATGTGGCGAATGCAGACTTCGGGGACTCGTGTAAGAATGAGGAACAGAATGGCTGTGCATTCAGCATAATTAAGTGACACCCCCCCCCCCCCCCCAAGACTCACTTCAGATTGGAGTGCAATTGAGATTTCTTTGCACACACATCATGATGTGCATTTCAGTCCTGGGAAGACAAAACCTGATGGTTTGCACTGTAAAGCGACCCAGCCAACATCAGCTCACATTCTGGGCACGTCAGACTGATTTTGTTCGCTAACGGATGAGGCTCACGACAGCACTGGGTGTTTCTGTCTTATCAGAATGGAAAGTCAGAATTAAACGTTGTGTCTCCTTTCCGTTAGCTGTGGGTTAGATTGACAACATGCTTCATTTGAGCTCTTTGGGTAGATACAGCTCATGCCACTTTCCTTCTCAATTGTTGAGATCGTCAGAAAAGAGTTTACATCCAGATGGCTCCTATAGATAAAGTAGAGCTATAGCAGGGTTTTCTGGTTTCCCAAAATCCCTCTGTGATTTGAGAAAGCCATTGAAAGTTTTAGCTTTCAGTATTAATCCAACGACAAATGGATGGTTTCCCCACAGCTGAAATCCTTCAATCCTTCAGTCTCCCCTCCCAGATCTCCCGGATGTAAAATCCAAGTGGGCTACAGAATAACACCACCTGCAGCTGGGTGTGCAGGACTGACGTTGGCTACACTTTCCGCTGTAAATGATGGAAAAGGCATAGCTTTACTGACTCTGCGCCGCATGTTTAAAAAGCAAAATACCCCTTATCTTTGTCTGTACAGTGACGAGAAAGTCTGAGCACTGGACTTTCTCTTGGGTTCCAATATCTGCCTGCATAAAGGGAACTCTGCGTTACAGATATTGTGTAACACAGATCTGTAGGGGGGGAGATGTAAGGGAAAAAAGGATGTGACCCGAACCTGGCAACAAGCCTAGGTGAAATGTCAAGCTTCAGTGATACAAATGTGCAGGAAAAATAAAAGTCCGTATTAATTGACACATTTTATTCTGGGCCTCTTTCCTCGGTTGAGTAAGGGATCTCACGTAATGTTGCTCAGCAGTATCCTATTCAATTATAACATTATGAGGCCTCGAACACGCATCAGCGCGCTGATTTCTATCACCACGGCTCCGTTCGTGCTGAGACTCATGAGCTCTTGAGTTATGTCATTGGATATTGCCGGGGAACGAATCGAAGCTTCCTGTTATGTGTGCAGTGTGAGTAAGAAGCCTGGTGCAGGGGCTGGGAGACTTGAAGAAGTGCTGGCAGATAATCAGCTGACTGTGCTGGGCCCTTACAGCTCCAGTGTTAGTACATAAGAAAGTTTGTCCAGCCTTTCAAGAGCCTGAATTGCCTCAAGGCAGAGGAGAAAAGAGCTCTGAAGTGTGTGGGTGGCTGAAAAGCGGTCTTTACATTAGCGATGAAGCTCCATGTAATTAGCATGTCTTTGGCTGATAATTAGCGTTGTTGGTGTAATGGCGCAGAGGACTGTGAAAGCTCTTCAGCAATGTTTATACAGACTAAAGAGCTTTGGTCTCTGGGTGCTCTTGCAGATGTCTTATCCTTTGCAATGAAAGCTTGAACTGTGCATCCTCTAAGAACGACCAAATGAAAAGCCTCATTTTCTGTGCCAGCACGCATCATATATAAAGGAGTGTCGGCCAGAGGTGTATTGTCAATACACTGCTTGAAATGGGAATAATGGCACAGGCACCAAGAAAAAGTCAGTACCTCAGCTCTCTTTCCAGCTGACTGACTGAATTGTTAGTTTCTTACCCGAATTAGTCCTATAAAAAAGAAAAAATATTTAAGCAAATTTAGACACTACATTTAAAAAATTAAACTGAAATTTGACAAAAGCAGTCCTTTAACAAAAATAATCAAATTTTAAGGTAGCATGGTGTTTTCACATCACTTGGGTCCTGGGTTCGATTCGGGCCTGTGGTTGGCTTATGTGTGTTTAGTTTGCAGGTGGGTTGCTTCCAAGTGCACCAGCTTTCTCCCATTGTCCAAAGACATGGTCTAGGTAAGCCGCCTGCCTCTAAATTGTCCTCCATCAGCATGTGTGTGCGCTGTGAAGGACTGGTGTCCTGTTCACGCTGTGTCTTGCCAGACACCTGTAGGCTTCCCAGATGGACTCCAGCTCATCGTCACCCTGTATTGCGCTAAGAGGTTAGCTCTGGATGGATGGATTTTTTGTTTGGTCCCTCCTTTTGCTTTTGTAAGCCTTGAATTGCAGGACTATATATGATGTAAACATTATTCCCCGAGTTGCTGGCCGTTGAAGGTTCTCATTAAAAGTCTCCCACCTGGAAACATCAAAAGTTAGAAAGAAGGCTAGGACGTTCTTAATAATTACAGCAGAGCCTGTGGAACTAGAGATTACACATGCTTGACATGAAATTGCTCTTTGCTTTTTAGTTATTTGTCTTCAATTGGCATTTCTTTATTATTAGCTGTTTCTCTAACATTTAAATAGTGTAGCTGATGTGATTTCGGAGCAAGGAAAGTCACCAAGTGCTATAGAAAGAGACTGGATTTTGAGGGAATCCTGGCAGTAGATAAAGTCCAAATGTTGCCTTTCTTCTGTAAAAACCCCTTTACTCATGTCTATGCTACAGGGTAGTTTGGTTGTTTTTTTCAGGACTGGAGAAAAAAAAAGAAGCCATTTTTTTATTTCTTAGCATAATCAACTTAAAAAAAATTAGGACAGACACCTATAGCATTGCTGAATTGCCTCAAGGTCTTGAGCCAACTCTTTTATTGTGTGTTTACTGATAAACATGTGCTACTGTTTATTGGACAGAAACAAAATCCAATCAGGAATCGTAACTGAACAGTAAAGCCACAGTTTCATCACTAATAAAAAGTCATACATCCAACCATACAGTTCAAGTTGGAAAAAGTTTATCTTTTTTACTATTTGTATGTTATTCATGTGTAAATAACATCAAAACGGTAAAACATCACAGTTTAACTTTCTGGCTTTGTCTCATGCCTCTTTCTTTGGTCATAATTGCTTGTGTGTTTAGATAATGCAGTTGCAGATATGTAAATATGTAATTACACATCACAAAAACCCAGACAAATCCACCCATGTCTGAGGACAGAGTGTCACAAATTAAACATTCATAAATTATTGTACTATAATCATAAACAGCATAATACAATTGCACCATTTTTTGTGTTGTATCTGCGGTTGACCTGCTTGGACTAAAAACATTACTTGAAACTGAATATTGAATAAAGTGTTGTCGAAAACCACTCAGAACAGCATGAAAGGTGGGCTGTTTCTAGATATCACTCAGTGTATGATAATGCCTTGTTTCATTAATTGCTCTATCGAAAGATGTTTCACATCAAGACAAGGGTTCGATCCTCAGCCTCAGCTCTGATATTTACCAAAATTGGCTACGCTGAAGAGACCACGCACAGTGGATTCTAAAGAAAGCTTCAAGGTGACCTTTTGTGGCAAATTATTTAAAAATCAGTTTTAAAGATCTGAAAGTCCAGCAGCTGGTCAGAGGCAAGATCTCTATTTTTTTTTTTTGACTTTTCAAAGCCTGCCGCTGTACAGTATGTGTTTGACAAACTGGCATTAACAGGTACACGTTTCTGAAAGCTTACTGAAACATCCCCTTGTGACTGTGCAGTGGCATCGAAGAAGCAGGGGTTTGCTGACGCATAAGACTTGGCATCATCAGTGAGGATTATTGAATGGCATTCAGGTGACAAAGCCACCCTGCACATGACCTGCCACATGGACAGTGTGCTGTGTCTGAAAGGAATCTGACAATCCCATCTCCCCCAATTAGCCTAATCTGAATTATCTCTCTTAAATCTTGAAAGCCAGCAGTAGACCGTTTTTCCCTTACCCACAGAGAACTTCTGAATGAGAGGAGAGGAGAGGAAAAAAAATCTGTTAATTATTTCCAAAGGTCACAGTGTTAATGACTAGCTGCCTGGCTAATGAGATTCTAAAAAGCTTTTTCATTAGGATGTGCAACCTGGTATGTTTTGTCTTGTGTTGAAATGTGTGAGGAGCGATGTGTAATTTCATCCCTAAAACTGTTGCATGAAAAAAATAAACATTCTCACCGGTTCATTAAATTGCTTATGCAATGTTTATTTCAGCAAAAGGAAAATTGCTTGATTTTAATATTTTAATATAACAGGCTTGCTAATTAATTAGGTTGATTTTAGGCTAATTTGCATCAGACCTTTTCCCTTGACTTAATTAAGAAAATGTTTAATCATTTACTTGTACATCAACAGATTTCTACAACATGATATGCCTTTAAACTGTTAGTCTAATCTTCTAATTGTATTCATGAATATTGTTTTTGGTTTAGATGAGTGAGATCTGTAAATTCATTCCCGTTTTAACTTGAGGGAAAACAAAAGTGTTTAA